GTTGACAACAATGCACGACAATGGCCATGCAATGACGATGGAGACAGGCGGACGACGATGATGTGATGTGGCAGCGACGTGGGCTAAACGACATCGACAGCTGCCTCACGCATTGACATCAACCACTGCCAACCACTGCCACATCACCCCTTTCCCCTCTGCCTCCTTTGGCATTGACAACAACATGCGACGACCAACAACAACACGACATGGCACTGATGACGGATGACAACAACTACCACAGACAACCACAACAACAATGGATGACTGAGGACCATGCGAAGAGTATGAAACAGGCGATGAGGGACAACAACAAGGATGCACGAGTGGTCCTCCCCCTGCCCCCTCATTCACCCTTGTGTAGTACTAGTTTATTTAGTAAATTACATACATATTTTCCCCATGTCAGTAGCTACAAGACCGGTTCTCAACTGGTCCTCAACCAGTTGAGACTGAGACTGGTTGAGACTGGTCCTTCAACTGTAAAAAACTGACGAAAACCACACTGAACCAGTTGACATCGGTTCAGTCTGGTTTTTCGTGGTTCTTCAACCTGTGAGGACCGGTCTCAGTCCTGGTCTTGTCAAATTTGGACAAAAGACCGGACTGGACTGGACTTCCAAGCACTAGCTGTTGGGCTTTGGCCTATGAGTTACCATCAGTAAGGAGAGGCTTGACTTCAGAAAATTCTTCAATGCAGGATGTGCATTTGGATAGATGTGACGTGATGGTTCTGGGTACTCTACACTGGCCGTGTGGGTCCTAAATTCATCATCACTATCTAGAAGTAACAATTCCATCAGATGTGAGTTCTTTTATAAGCATGATGACTTACGCTCAGTGTCCTCCACTGCAAACTCATGCTGATAATAGGTTCCATCACCAGCCATATAAAAGGATTGGGAGCGGGGGCTGTAAGGACCAGGGCCATGATGTGGAGCTGACTCGGCAACTTGAGAAGGTTGCTGTTGAGGTGTAAGAGGTGGTGGTGCTGATCTATTAGGTGCAATCATCATGGGAGGCCAAGCCTGACCAGTGACACATCTGATTAACTTGGGTGGCTGTTTGTCAGCTTGTTCATTGCTGTGAACTTGGAGCTGCATGGACAATGAAAAAAGGCTAGGTTAATCAGGTTTAACAATGTACTGGTGTAGCATTCACATTTTCCTTTTCCTGGTCCACCCAATGAACAAGGGTACGTCCGTTTCGGACAGATGTTTTGATGATTGGTGCCAGCATAACCGCAGTGAACCAAATAAATAAGATTTAGAAGATCAACGTCTCAAAAAAAAAGAAAGAAAGAAATATACTCCATTTCCTGCTGAGGCAGGATGATCTTCATCTTCGGATTCAGGGCCCATCCCTTCATCAACATCACCTGACAATGAATCGTGTGCATGAACCAGTAATTTTTGGAAGCCCATGATTTCTTCTTGGGCTTGATGAGCTCGAAGCACCTGGGTATAGGCCTTGTCCTGGGCTATGACTTGTTTCTAACCTTTTTCTGTGACTAAATGTGAAGTCAGTCATGTAATGGCACAATATACGAATAAATAAACTGACCTATTTGTTGTTGCTCTGCAGACAGCGTACACTGGCAGCCTGATGGCGTTGGTTCCACTTCAATTGGAACAGCAGCAGTAGCCTTGAGGGTAGATGTGTGAGTAGAATGAGCCATGGCTGAACAAAATAAATGAACAAAAGGCTGGAAAGAGTGTGTGAAGGGGATAAAAAATGGTACGTGGAAATTCAAATGATGGACATGGTGGCACTGCGGGCCCTGGCTTATACATCCACTGGGATTATTGTGAAAAAATGGGGTAGATATTAATAATAATGCTACCTTTTAACTGCCGAAATTACTTGAAAGATATTTAAAATCTTTTATTTCATTTTATAACTTTTTTTCCATCGGAATTATTAAGAATTTTGGGGGTGGACAAACGTCGAAGATATTCAGAGAAGATATTTCTACAAAAGGCAACCATATATGTGCAGCAAATATGTGGAAGATATGTTGATGCCACGAGGTGAAGAAACTTCTTAATATAGCAGCCTTTTCGGATCTAAGTAATACTTGCTTGATAAGGCTATTTGCTGTTTACCTCGACACCTTCCATCCACGACGTCGTCAAAGCGTACAACGACGAACTCGAACTCTATTCCTCAACGTTACGACGACTACCTGATGGCAACCAAAGCTCAACATTCAACAGGGAGATGGGAATGTGCCCAGCAACAACAAAGTGTCTGCTATCAAGCTCAAGCAAGCATGACCCTTGAGTTGCCATTAGCTCATGACAAAGGCAAGTCGTGCTCACTTGACATCAAACCACCACCAGCCACTCATGGCCGGCACCAACCCCAAAGATAACCCGTATCTTGCGCATCATTATAATGGGAGCAGGACCCGAGCCTGCACCAAGTAGCTACACTCACGCAAACTCGGCATATTCACCGAATCAGCCACAACTCCACTATGCCTCCTCTTCACCAGCTGATGAACGATCTGTTCATTGGAAGCTACTGGCCTCTCACGCGAATTCTACGGCATCGAATTGCTCCACTGCATCAGCTTCGTGTACGTCTAACCTCAGGACGAATCAGACCTTGTTTGGCGTTGGTGGGTGGCTGCATAACGCTTAGGGATATATCATGTTTTCAGCGAGACGTACCTACGCTTTGCCTCTTTTTCTGGTTTTTATGACGCATTTTGACAGCGTATCAACTCTCTGAGCAGCAATCAAGCTCAAATCGGTATTCGACCTGATCCAAGCAGCGGAAAAGGCAGGCAACCAAAGTCCGGAGGAGAAGAAGAGGTTGGAGGAACAGGCGGCTGCCAAGAAGATGTCACAGGCGTTGTTCAAGGTATTCCCATCTAGTTTTCTTTTTTCTTTTCTTACTAACACTCGACAGGGAACGAAACAAGAAGTCGAATATATCCTCCGCGAGACGTGCGACCGCCTCCCCTCCGATTCTGCTATACTACGCGAAAAGGCGCTGTTGAGGGCTGTGGCACTGCAGATCCTTAGAGAGGCGTGAATGAATGTTAAAAAGGACGCGCCTGAGCCTGGGAGCGATTATGGGAAGATTGATATGAGGAGTAGTCGCGTGAGGGAGGACGGAAGGACATGAGCGGCCCAATAGTTGTGTTCATGAATATCATCCCAGAATAAACCATGTTTTTGTGTACTTTACATTTGGAGACAGTTTTTAATGATCATTGTGAATATAGACCTGGAATTGACTATCCGTAAATTTTAACTAATGTTGTACATTGGACGTCGACTGTACATGTGTTACGCTGCCCCGTCAAGACCGGCGTCAACCACCTGGCCATCCACAATAACCCTCGCGGCTGTTCCCTGCTCCACCGACACAACACGACCTGAGCAATGGTGAGGGTTAAGAACTTCGAAAAGACAAGAAAAAAAAGGTTTGGTAAGTGTTTCAAGACCAGAAGGATGAAGAGGTCCTTACCTATTTCGTTTAGAGTTTTTCTAACCATTCCAAAACACCGCGCACCCCTCCTGGCCCAAAGACGATGTATCGTCTTTCGCAAAATGGTCCCACGCCACCCTCCGGCTTCCATAACCCTTCCTCCTCGCCATCCATCTCCCAGGCCCTGGAGACGACGCATTTCCGTCCGCTAAACGCCCTCTTTAGGTGCTCGCAATTTTTTCCAGGAGTTCCACAATGTTCTGCATCCCTCCCAGCCCAGGACGACGTATCTCCGTAAAACGATTACACGCCGCCCTTCAGTGTCAGAAACTCTTTCACCTCGCCATAGCCCCCCCCGGCCTCGAGATGACGTATCGCCGTCCGCTCAACGCCCTCCCTATGTGGTGGCAAGTTTTCCGACCCTATCAGAACGTTCTGCACCCTTCCTGGCGTCGAGACAACGTATCGTCGTCCACAGAACCGTCAAACCTCACCCTCGGGTTTCCAAGACCCTTCCACCTCGCCATGGCGTCGAGATGACGTATCGTCGTCCGCTAAACACCCTCTCGACGCGTGGGTCGCCTTCGGATGTTGGATGGGATGGGTTGCAGTTGAGAACCTGCAAAAGACGAAGACAAAAAGGTTTGACCAGTATTTCAACACCATACGCACGAAGAAGAACTTACCTGTTTTATTTACTCTTTGCATCGACCCAACGTATCAACGTCCGCCAATCTCTCTCTACGACGTGGTCCTCCCGGGACCCCTTTCTCGTTTTTGGTCGACGTTGCAGGCTGGAACGATATACGCATGGTTAGTTTATGAAGGTTTCGCAAAGAGGTCGACATACCTTCGTTGTTCGATCGCTTCCTTGCGTCGTCGCCTCTCTTCCACCTCTCCAAGGCTCGCCACGATGTATCGACGTCCGCCAAACGCGTTTGGGTCGTTGTGGATGTTCTGCAACGTCGGGGTGTGTTGTAGCTTTCCGGTAAAGGTGAGTACTACTTGATTTGGGTTCCGAGGCGATCACTTACCTCTTTAAATGCTGTACACGCACGTTGCCGCCTTTCGAACGTCCCCAAGCATTCGGGACATCGTCATCTACCCCAAGCCACCTCTAGCACGAGTCCGTCGTCGATTTATGACATTCTATTGTCACATGTTGTAGCTTTCGGATAAAGGTGAGTTGTACGTTGGTTTCAGTTATGAGGCGATTACTTACTCTTTTAAGGTCGATTACGCCTGTTAACGTTGCCCTGCCTTTGCAACATCACCAAATGCACCCTAGCCACCATCAACGCAAGTCCGTGTGGGGACGTCGTTAAGCTTCAAAAATGTGTGAGTTTTGCGTTGAATTGAGTGCTGAATGTCCACTTACTTGTTTAAAGGTCATTATCACCTGCTATCGTGTTCTGAACACTTCTACACCCTTGACACGTCACCAACGATGCCCTAAGTGGTTTCCACAGCGGTTTGTCGTCAAATAACGGCGGTCTTCAAAGTAAGCGTTAGTTTTGCGTTCTGCGAGTCTTGATGGACTTGCTTACCATTCTAACTTATAATTGCAGAACTCTGTGAATTTTCGAACTTGTCAGTAAGTTTTCAGCCTTCAGATAAGGGTCTGACACGTACCTTTGTAATCTAGCGAGAGTCTAGAGAAGACCTGTTTGTTTGGTTCTGTTTAGTCTGAACTTGGTCTCGCCAATATGGCGGACTCTCATTTGGGCATTTTCTCGCACTCCGGTCAGGCATGGCGCTGATCAGAGACGCGACGCGGACACCATACTTGCTGCTTTTCTTCTTTTAAAACAAGAACTTGGAGGTGGAATGGGGCTGTCTCTCGTTGCCGCTGCATTGCTTCAAATTGGCTAAAAATTGGCTTCAAAGTCCTTGCTCTGATACTAGCGAGGATTCTGGAGACTCTGACATCTCGAAAGCTATTGCTATCACCCGGGAATTGGACGTGCAACCACTCAGCTCGACAAATGAAGGATTGAGACTTTTAAAGAGGTCTATTGGCTCCATAGGCATCCCCATTTCTTCATTGGGCCCTGTAGAAGGAATTGCCACTTTTTCCGCACGGGCTCATTGATGGATCCCTACTAAAAGTAGCCAATTCCGCAAGCTGAAGCGTTGGAATGCGAAAAGAAGGGCAGCGAGGTAGGGTAATTCCTGTATGAAATTGATACCTGTGGTTTGAATTGCACCTTGCCGGTCAAAGTACCAAATCCAGGCAACGTCGTCTGGTGGGAGATCATGAAACAAGATTTCGGATAATTGAAAAAATGGCTCACCCGTGATAAGGATGCTATGTGCATTCAGAGAATAGACTCCACGGTTCAACATCTCAGAAGCATAAAGCTCAATTTGGGCAAAGGGCGTGATGTCCTCTCCTGACATACGTTTTTGAACGCGTTGATTTTCAGTTCGTAGCGTCCCTCATCGGAAGCTTGTTTGCAGCTGTACAGTAAAAGTTAGATTCGAGATAACAGTAAAATATCAGCCGACTTACTAGTCCTCCATGAATGCCTTGGTCTCGGGTGAGTTACAAATTGGTAACACAGCGTCGAGACATTGCTCCAGAATTTCGGGTCCTTCGCAAGCACAAACCTTCTTCAGCGAGCACCTGAGGAAAGTCCGAATATCCACTTTCTCATTGGGCTCGACGTGCATGATGGAATAGGGGAGGTTTGAGATTGCTTCGGTTATAACCTGTTTGGTTTTGAGAGCACAACCAAATACATTCCATGACTCACCATCACTTTCAAGTTGGCTTGAGGGTAGTTGTCGTAGAGGATCTACGTGAAAAGGAGAAGATACAAAGTTCATGAACCTGTAGGCATATCATCGCGTCTCAATCCGCGATCATCATCGCGTTGTTGTTCCAGTCAAGTTCCAGTAACAGATTAGTACAAAACATCGCTTGTCATCGTGGATTTACGTATGCATCCGGGTTGCTTGTGGAATGGGAACCGTGAACTTCAACATAAATAAGGTGAATTGCTTATGTAGTAGATGCGAGAAATAGATTGTACCTACCCAGACCTACCCTGTTGCGTGAAAGCAAGACGAAAGCCGTATTTGCTGAGTCATCATCTGTCGGAGTGGAAATTCGCCGGAATGATGTCTGGTGTCCGTTCTTCGTCCACAACACCGACGACGACGACCACAGCCATGTCCGGCCACCTTGTCCACCCTAACGCTGAGCTCCTTCAGTCGGCCACCAAAGGCTTCAACTTACTCTTCTCAAACAACCTCGTCGGTGCACGTCAGGACTTTGCAGCAAATGAGGACCCATTTCACATCCTCGGCCAGGGCGTATGCGCGTTTCTTGAGGCGGCTTTGGGTATGGAGGTGAGCGGGAGTTTTTGCGAGGTGTTTGATGATCTGAACGCGGTCATATATACTAATAGTCGGGCCTAATGGCAGAAGCATCTCGCATGCTGGCCTTGTCTGAAGCTGGCACGCGGAAGCAGATGAAGGCACCGAAGAAAAAGTACAACACACGGTTCCCTCAGGGCTTGGAGTGGGAGATTCTTAATGCGGATGTGGTTGTGTTGTTGGGGATGACTCATGCTTTGAGGTGCGTGAATGGAACTCGCTAGAAATTTGTACCTGCCTGAACAAAGTCGCAAGTGAATCGTACATGGGCTACCTCCAATGCATGTATGCCTGAACAGGTATGTCCAAGTTCTATC